GGGAAAAACAATTTTTGGAAATTTGGAAAAAAAAAATTGGGAGTTTTTGGAATGAAAATAAATGAAAAAAAATGGGAATTATGTGGAAATCTGAAAAAAAATTGGGATTTTTGTCCCAGTCCCTCCCAGTCCATTTTTACCCCTAAAATTCCCATTTTTGCCCCAAAACCGTCCCGGTTTTTCCTCCCAGTCCATCCCAGTCCATCCCAGTGCCCCCAGTTCTGTTCCCAGTTTCTCCCAGTCCATCCCAGTCCCCTCCCAGTTTGTCCCAGTGCCCCAGTTCCGTTCCCAGTTCCGTTCCCAGCCCCTCCCAGTTCCTGCTAATCCACTCCCAGTCCCTCCCAGTATAACCCAGTCCCTCCCAGTCCGTTCCCAGTTGCTCCAATCTCCTCACAGCTGCTCCCAGTACAAACCAGTATGACCCAGTTTGTCTCAAGCCCCTCCCAGTCCATCCCAGTCCCATCCCAGTCCCTCCCAGTATATCCCAGTTCAATCCCAGTTCCTCCCAGTTTATCCCAGTCTCCTCCCAGTCCATCCCAGTTCCGTTCCCCGCCCCTCCCAGTTCCTGCTAATCCGCTCCCAGCACCCCCAGTTCCAGTCCCAGTCTCTCCCAGTTGCTCCCAATCCCCTCCCAGTCCCCTCCCAGTTTGTCCCAGTTCCGTTCCCAGCCGCTCCCAGTTCACTACCAATATATCCCAGTCCATCCCAGTTCGATCCCAGTCCCTCCCCAGTCCATCCCAGTCCATCCCCGTCCATCCCAGTCCCTCCCAGTTTATCCCAGTATAACCCAAACCCCTCCCAATCCCTCCCCAGTTGCTCCCAGTCCCTCCCAGTTGCTCCCAGTCCCCTCCCAGTTTAACCCAGTGCCCCCGTTCCGTTCCCAGTTCCGTTCCCAGTCCCTCCCAGTTCCTGCTAATCCACTCCCAGTCCCTCCCAGTATTAACCCAGTATAACCCAATCCCCTCCCAGTCCCTCCCAGTATATCCCAGTTCAATCCCAGTCCCCTCCCAGTTTATCCCAGTTCCGTTCCCTGCCCCTCCCAGTTCCTGCTAATCCGCTCCCAGCACGCCCAGTTCCAGTCCCAGTCCCTCCCAGTTCGATCCCAGTTTGTGCCAGAGCCCCCAGTTCCGCTGTCAGTCCCTCCCAGTTCATCCCAGTTCATCCCAGTCTGTCCCAGTCCCCTCCCAGTTCCTGCTAATCCACTCCCAGTCCCTCCCAGTCGCTCCAATCTCCTCCCAGTCCCTCCCAGTTCGGCCCAGTTACTCCCTGAGCCCCTCCCAGTCTATCCCAGTCCCCTCCCAGTTTGTCCCAGTGCCCCAGTTCAGTTCCCAGTTCCGTTTCCAGCCCCTCCCAGTTCCTGCTAATCCACTCCCAGTCCCTCCCAGTATAACCCAGTATCACCCAATCCCATCCCAGTCCCTCCCAGTATAACCCAGTCCCTTCCAGTCCGTTCCCAGTTGCTCCAATCTCCTCACAGTTGCTCCCAGTACAAACCAGTATGACCCAGTTTGTCCCAATCCCCTCCCAGTCCCCCCCAATCCCCTCCCAGTCCCTTCCAGTATAACCCAGTTCAATCCCAGTCCCTCCCAGTCTCTCCAATCTCCTCCCAGTCCCCCCAGTCCATCCCAGTCC